CTGCTATGTGTTTCAAAGGTGTAGTTAGTAACGTTAACTGCCAACCCTTCCTAAACCCTCCGGGTTTCTCACGTATTTGAGCCTTTTCCTGCTGCCGATTTTATTATTTTCCCGTAAAAGATCCCAACTTTGAAGGAAAGACACAATGTAGGCTATAAAATAAAACTGTGCATCTTTAACTTACCAGAATGAAAGTGCAGGGAACACACTCTCATTGACATCGGGATACTGTGGAAAGTTATGTTCGGTCCTCTTACAGCCACGATCCAAGCTAGCCGACGACTCTTTATCTCTGACGCTTGGTCTCCGTGGTTGCGCCTCCAGGCAGGAAAGCGTTGGAAAGTTAACCCATTTTCTATGTTGTTCCCATGGCGATCATGTGTTGCGCTGTTACAGCCCACAATACAGCAACGGTTTACCATGATTAAAATCAAGTTAAGGTGAAATTAATCAAATTAAAACACGGCTGAGAGGGAGTACAGTATGCGGTAGTCATAGGTAGTAGTCTGAGCAGCGGTAAAAGAGGCCATCAAGATGGCGGCGACGCAAAGTGCTTAGGTCATGACGACCAAGCCCTATTTTTTTCTCATTCTTTAATGTTTTATGTTTATTTTTCTTTTTATGAAAGAAAACTGTTATGGATGGCATATTTTCAATTGTACGTTTCTGCTTTTCTGAAAGTGTTTTTTGGATTTGTGAAAACAAAAAAAAAATAAATAAAAACTTCATGACGTTGCGTGTATGACGTCATACGCGCTTGCGCACTGGAGTCGTAACAGGAAGCCTGGGCCACAGGTGGCTACAGGAAGAATGAACGGTAGCCGGCACACGCGGATGACTTCATACGCGCGCCGCTTCGTTTTAATAAGATATAAATATATAAAATATAATCGCGGCTGTCTGGGGGACAGTGATTCGCCTACGTTATGAATGCTGGTGTACCATAAAGAATAAATTATGAAAAGTTCAGTTTGTGCCTTCAAGTCAACTGCCCATAGGAAGACGTTACCTGGATATAACCTAACGGAATATCTTCAGGATGGCTCCAAATGACACAAAACTTATATGGGTGAGTAGAACATGATGGAATAACTAGTGATGGTGAGATGAAGCCTCATGAGGCATTGAACTGTTTGGCCCAATTGCTTCTACGATCCCCTCAGTTCATGAGGCTTCATGTAAACATGGCACCACCTACTGGTGGAGTGCAGAACTACAGTTTGTAATAAAATCTGTGATTTTTTTGCAACTGTTTTTCTTTTTTTCCCCTTTTAAGTTCCTTTGAAATTATTAATGGGTGGTGTGTATAATAAAATCTTTTGTAAGTTTTCTTTAAGTGTAAAGTTTCTTAGAACAATCATTTAAGGTACACAGTTTTCTGCCATTTGAGTGAAAAAAACTCAAGCAGACAGTGAAAGTGTTTGTGTAAATTGGCCAATGATGAGCAAAATGAAAGGTGTTAGACATATTTCTTCAAACATGATCGTTTTCCACGTTTTTTGGTTTTAATCAGGTTGGAAGTTGTGTTCAACCAATCTTTTGGCTTAACTGACGTAATTTACCCAATCTGTATTTTTACTCGGGCAAAACAATGTAAATTAGTCTCATCAGTCAAAATAATTAAGTTTAATCGCAACTCTCAAAAGTCAAAGAAAGGCCTTGAACCATCAACCTCTAGAGCGGGAGCCTGTCTCTTACAGATGAGGCCACCTATGTAGATAACCGTAGTTTGGAGAAAATACTACTTAACACTGACGTGTTAACACTGGCTTTGTCCGGTGGTTTACTCAAAGTTTGATCATTACATATTTTATTCTAACCAAATTAGCTTTAAGCAACTGGATTGGTTGTTTTTCCAAACAATCTATTCTATCCAAACTTTATCCAGCTGAGAGCATCTCTTCTCCAAACACCCACATCTTGACTGAACACTGAGGCTGTTTAGATGCCTTTCAAAATTCTTGTGCTTTCTGAACCTCTTCCCGAAGCGGTCACTTGGTATCACGGTAGCGAGGCCTCGGACGTCATCAATTTTGGCCCCTCGTCTAAATGAATCACGCCTCCACACGCGCTTTGGGGAAACCAGCCCCCTCCATTACTCGACACACGCCTCGAAGCCTCGGCTCATCTCAACATTACTAGTAATAACGTAAAATAAGGGCCAAATGTAAAAAAAACGGTGTTTCCCTCTAATACAGCGTAACGGCAGTAGTGGCCCACCACTAATATATATAATGCTATATATGTATATAAAAATGTATGTATATAAAAATAAAACTCTTCCTCAACCGCTGAGTGAGGTCTCCTTTTTTTCCTCCAAGCTCGGGTCCTCTACCACAGGCCTGGGAGCTTGAGGGTTCTGCACAGCATCTTTGCTGTTTCTAGAATTGCACATTTCTGGATCGAGATGTCCGATGTATTTCCAGGGATCTGCTGTAACCACTCCTCAAGTTTGGGGGTCACTGTCCTGAGTGCCCCAATGACCACGGGTACCACTGAAGCCGTGACCTTCCAGGTTTTCTCAAGATCTTCTCTGATCCCCTCGTATTTCTCTAGTTATTTATGTTCCCTTTTCCTGATGTCACAGTCACTTGGTATTGATATGTAAACCACAATGGCTTTCCTCTGTTTTTTGTCCAGCACCACAATGTCTGGTTGGTTTGCCGTTACCATTTGGTCCGTCTGAATTTGGAATTCCCACAGGATATTGGCTTGGTCATTCTCTACCACCTTTGGAGGTGTTTCACTCTTTGACCTTGGGGTTTCCAGCCCATACTTTACACAGATGTCCCCGTACACTGAGCCACTTGGTTATGGCGCTCCATGTCAGCTTTCCCTGCCAGCATGTTATATCCTGCAGTTATGTGCTGGATTGCCTCAGGGGCCTCTTTGCATAGTCTGCACCAGGGGCCTTGTCTGGTGTGGTAAATCTGGGCCTCTATTGCTCTGGTGCTTAGGGCCTGCTCCATGACTCTTAACTTTCTCCTTCTGAGTGCAGACAAAACAGAGGTTATAGTCTTTGGGCCAGAGTCTTTGAAAAATAAGCTGATTAGTCAGTCACTTTATTTGGATGGGATTAAACTGATTTCAGATAATAAAGTAAAAAATCTTGGTGTTGTTTTTGATCAGGACCTGTCATTTAAATCCCATATCAAAGAGGTTTGTAGAATTTCCTTCTTTCATCTGAGGAATATTGCAAAAATTAGAAATATCCTTTAAAGGGTTGATGCTGAAACTAGTCCATGCATTTGTTACTTCAAGGCTGGACTATTGTAATTCTTTACTATCAGGAAGTCCAAAAACTGTAGCTGAAAGCCTTCAGCTGATCCAAAATGCTGCAGCCAGAGTTCTGATGAAAATTTAAAATTGTTGGAGGTATTTGGCTGTAGCCGCTCTCCTTGTCACCTCTTCAAGGTTGTCATTTGCTTGTGGAATTCAGAGGTACTTGTAAATGCCCTCATTGTCTGCTATTGTTCCTTCTGGGAGTGAGACTCCCTCTGTGTGGACTACCTTCCGTCTCTTAGACACCATTCGACCACACTTCTCTAGTCTTTAGTTTTTATAGAATATGGTCTGTTTCCACTACCAGAAGAGGTGCAGACAAAACATGGGAACAAAATGCCATATGCTGTTTAATTTTTTCTTCGGCATTAGCTGGAATTAAACACTTAGGGACTGATATTCATAAGGTTTGTGCACGTTAAAACAGATGGAGAGATATTCTGATACTCTTTGACCATTCACACATATTTAAAAAGTCAAATACAACAATAGTAGTACAGTAAATAGTAATAATTACAATTAGTTGTAATAATAAATTAATCAAATGAATCAATATGTAGTTCCAAACCTCTTGCAGGAAACCATCTTCATATGAAGTTAGTTGCTATTTCTGTATTACAGAAAATGGGCCTAAACTGAATGTGACGAGCGGACAAAGCAAGGTCATATCGAGGCGAGGGGGAACTGTAACTTTACCATGCAGGATTCAAAGGGACCCGCAGCTAACATCCATATCCACAATGAGGATCAAGTGGACTAAAGACACAGCAGACTTTCTGAAGGAGGTAACATTCAATCTGAATTTAAAAGTTTTATATTCTCTCTTATAATGCAGTGAAAATTATTTGATCTGTCGAAGCATTTTAAATTCAGATGTGATACTCTTTTTGTCTTACCTTTTAAGGTAGGCACATTTTTTGCTTAGTGATAGCACTGCTACTGACACTGTGACTTAAAATGAACCATCAATATTATATTATAACCAATGAGCTCAGGTGCAGATTTAATAATGAACAAATTTGAGGACTTGATTTCCTTCTGTGAGCTTCCTGTATACCAATAAGGGCACTGGTGCTTCTATCGGTGGTTGTTGGGTGAGAGGTGGAGTACACACAGGGCAAACAACCTTGCAGGCACATTCAGACCAACGGAAATGTTATGGGGCTCTGGGAAGAGGCTGGAGTACCTGGAGATCTCTAACACATGCACAGGGAAAACAAGAAATGATTTAGGGGGGTTTGAAACCCATAACCTGCATTAGTTTTGGATTGTTTTATATTATTAGGTTATTAAAGATTAAAGTTAAAGAGGGATCAATAAAAACACTTACCGGTAGTTTTATGCCATAATGTCTTGTTTGTCAATATCAATGTAAACTTCTATCATTTTTTAATCTTACTATATTTTAATGTACAATGTGAAGAAAAAGCTTGTATACCTTCTGAAACTGCATATTTACTGTATGCAGGTTAAAAATTACAAGTTGTTTGGGTTTTTTTAAAACTATTTTTTAAGTCAGGATGTATGTTAATTCAAATGTGTTTTTAAAATTAATTCAGCTTTAAGTTCATCTTTTCAATCACTAATTCAATTCAATTCAGTTTATTTATATAGCGCCAAAACATTTCCTCTCAAGGCACTTTACAAATACAATTCAACCAAATCATACAGTCAAATTGATTCAGAATTTTCTATTTAAGGCAATCCCTCACACCAAACATGCTTGTAGCGACAGTGGAGAGGAAAAACTTCCTATTAACGGGAAGAAACCTCCAGCAGAACCAGGCTCAGTTTGAGCGGCCATCTGTTGAGGCCGACTGGGGTTTAAGAATACAGAAGCAGACATACAGAAATAAGCAGAGATACAAGTGTAACTTGTCAAACAGCTCCACAGGTGGCCCCAACCAGTAAAGCTACAGCTGGGCAGACAAGCTCCGAGCCAGCCCCCATGTCAAAGGATTAAAAGAGCACATCCAGTTAGTCACAGTCAGAGAAGCAGGACTACACAAAATATATATATATATATATATATATATATATATATATATATATATATATATATATACTGCTAAAAGAAGTTGAAGGAACACTTTCAAAACACATAAGATCTCAATTGGGAAAAAAATCATGCTGTTTATTTATACTGACTGGGCTATATGGACTGGGTGATGTGTTAGGAACAAAAGGATGCCACATCATTTGATGGAAATGAAAAATGATCAACCTACAGAGGGCTGAATTCAAAGACACCCCAAAAATTACAGTGAAAAAATTATACGGCAGGCTAGTCACTTTTGCTGAAATTTCATTGTAGCAACTCAAAATGGTATTCTGTAATTTGTATGGCCCCAACGTGTGTCTATGCATGCCTGACAACGTCGGGGCATACTCCTAATGAGACAACGGATGGCGTCCTGGGGTATCTCCTCCCAGATCTGGACCAGGTCCTCACTTAACTCCTGGACAGTCTGAGGTGCAACCTGGCGGCGTCAGATGGATCAAAACATAATGTCCCAGAGGTGTTCTATTGGAGTTAGGTCAGGCGAGCGTGGGGGCCAAACAATGGTATCAATTCCTTCATTCTCAAGGAACTGCCTGCATACTCTCAACTTCTACGGCCCTGTCCAGCTCTCCTGAAGTAACTGCCTGTCTCCTTGAATCTCCTCCATGCTCTTGAGATTGTGCTGGGAGATGTGCCATCCTGGATGAGTTGTACTGCCTGTGGAACCTCTGTAGGGTCCAGGTAGCGCCTCATGCTAACAGTAGTGACAGTGACCCTAGTCTAATGCAAAACTGGTGAAAAAGAGTCAGAAAAGATGAGGAGGGGAAAAAAATGTCAGTGGCCTCCACCAGTAAAACCATTCCTGTTTTGATGGTCGTCTCGTTGTTGCCCTCTAGTGTACCTGTTGTTAATTTCATTAACACCAAAGCAGCTGAAACTGATTAACAACCCTCTCTGCTACTTACCTGACCAAATCAATATCCCAGAAGTTTAATTAACTTGATGCTATACTCTGATTACAAAGTTTTCCTTTAATTTTTTGAGTAGTGTTTAAAACATCTATAAACAAAGGTGATGATGGCAGCAGAACAGCTGATATTTCTGGATTTCAGGATGGTGTCACAGCCAAACAGGAAGAGACCAGATTAAGCTACTAGGAGAAAAGGCAGAGAGCATAATAAGATTGAACTAACAAATTCTGCGGAGTGGGAGAATAGAGATAGAATGAAGCAGAATGAGGAAAAAGGGTCCCTATGTCCTCCAGCAGTCAAAGCCTATAGAAGCATGCTCAGGATAACTAACCACAGGTAATATTTACATTTTTCAACCAGCCCTTCCAACTAACTCTTGGCCAACAGTTTTAAAGTATACTTGATATTTGAGAACACATTGTTTTGGGGATTTTTTAAGCTATGGTGCATGATGAGGCCCCTTTAAGATCTTCACTATATCCCATAACATGTCTCCCAGAAATACATTAAAGAAAGGAACACATTTAAAAACACTTATTTTACCCTAATTGTAATTTTTTTGTGGAGATTTTACAACAAAACAACCACTTTTATGTAAAACACCATCACATCCGTTGTCTTTCACACAATGTATCTGGATTTAGTTGTTAGTAGAGTACGTTTCTTCTGTTCTTAGTTGTTCCACTGTATTTTAGATTAAAAAAAAAAAGCTTAGAATTTAAGAAGTACAATCTGTCTCCTCTGATCGTGCTTTAGGTGAAAGTTTTTGTTGCTGCCGGTCATCGCAATAAAAGTTACGGGACCTTCCAGGGACGTGTCCACCTGCAACGCTCCTCTCCTATGGACGCCTCCCTGGTGATGAAGGATCTCACATTAGATGATTATGGGACATATAGATGTGAAGTCATGGATGGTCTGGAAGATGATACAGCAGTAGTGTCCCTTGAACTTGAAGGTAACATTTTGAGTGGTCTAGTTTAAAAAAAAAAAAAAAAAAGGAAGCAATGAACTCCTGGAATGACTTTATACTGTTGGTGTTCTATTGTTAATGCATTCATTCCAAATTTAGCTCCAGAAACTGGAGTTATAGGAGGAATGTTAGCAAATGTGAGCACAGTGTACATTAGTGTGACAGCAGTTTCATTATGTTTGAGAACAGCTGGAGTCTCATGCCATTTAGTGCTTGGAGCCACAGCCACTGGCAGCAGGCTGAGAGGGAAGCAGCTGTGTTTGCTCAGTGAGAGCCGCTGTCAGTCACCAGGATCAATAAAAATTTGAAACAACCCACATGAGATGTACAACTGTGTCATTGCATCAAGGCTTTCCTGTTGTTGGCCTCTCTCTGCAGGTGTTGTCTTCCCCTACTTTCCACGCTTGGGACGCTACAACCTTAATTTTAATGACGCTGCGCGGGCATGTCGAGACCAGGATGCTGTTGTTGCCTCTTTTAAACAGCTGTATGACGCATGGCAAGAAGGGATGGACTGGTGCAACGCAGGTTGGCTGAGTGATGGTACGGTACAGTACCCCATCACCAACCCCAGAGAACCATGCGGAGGGAAAAACACACCGCCAGGCGTTCGCAATTATGGCTTGAGAGATAAGGGCAAGACTCACTACGATGTGTTTTGCTTCACTTCCTTCTACAGAGGTAAGGGACAGCCCTTCCCCTTCAGACGTTTCTTAGAGCGTTTATTTCTTTTTAACAGGTCCCTCCTTGTAAACCCCAATCCCTGAAATAAATACACTATGCTGTTGCATCTTTTAAACAATGCTGAGTAAAAGGATGATGAAAGAATTAACCAATGAAGTCAAACATCTCTTATATAATTTGATGATATTTTGAAAGGCTTGTAAAAGAGAAGAAGAGCCAACCACCAAAATCCTCAGTGCCTCCAGGATTATCGGCAGCACATTTCAGCATAGTGGAATCTTTTTACTGCTAAGCTGAAATTTAGGCCAATACAGTTATTTTTTTCTAAGCATATCAGTCTTTTGATTGACATCGGAGCTTCGTCCCCAGGGATCATTCCAGTGAATTTGAGCATAAATGCTGGTTATGCTGAAAGGTTTTAATAAGCATATTGGTTGTGGAAAGTGTGCTTCTAAAAACTTGTAACACCTTATTCGCACATATATGTTAGAAAAGTGCTATGAAGTCATGAACCCCATATTCTTCAGACCCAGTCTCACCCTGATTGATTTCAGCAGGTGAACACGTGTGTTACAGCTTTTTTTTTTTTGAACTTTATTTTTTTATTTTTTTTTTTTTATAACACATGACAATCTTACAATCTTTTGTCTCCACCGACCTATAGCCACTATATTAGACGAGACATCGAAAGGTGAGTCAGTGGGTTTTCTAACACATGTAATAATGCATACATGACAACAGATTGAAATCAACAGGCAGATAACAGTAAAATAAAATAAAATGGTACATAACACTTGACTGAATCCCCTCCTGAGATAAGACAATCCACACATTCATAGTATTTTACATCGACCCAAAGATATACGCTAATGCAAAAGGGCTATCCTGTAGATGTGTCACTGAGTTAGTAGCGGTATGACAGAGCTCCATCTTGTATTAAAAACTGTTTTTTGAAACCTTAAGGAATATGTTATTCCTTCCATCATGTAAATGTCCCAAACTTTTTGTATCCATGTGTTATATGTAGGAGGCTCTGGCTTCAGCCATCTGATAGTTATGCATTTCAATGCTGCTGTAAGCAAGATTCTTAACAGGTATCTATCCCCCTTCCTGTCTATTCCATCGGGTATTTCTCCCAGAATTGCCACCAAGGGAGTTTTTGGGACATTTCTCCTGAAAATTACTTTAAGTGCGTCAAAGATGTCCTCCCAGAATACACTTTAGGACCAAAAGATGTGCGTATGATTTGCAATCTGTGTCCCGCAGTTTCTCCAACATGAACTTGGTTGAGTTGGGCCCATTTTACTGGTTATTGTTGGCGTTCTGAAAAATCGGACTATTACTTTCCATTTGAATTCTCTCCTTGTGTTAGAATTTGTTGTTAATTGTGCGTCGGTACACATTTCTTCCCATGTGTCCCCTGTTATTGACTCCTGCAGTTCAGTTTCCCATTTAAGCTTTATGTTTGTGGAATCATGCCCGTTCATAGACAGAAACAGGTTTTATATTTTACTAATTACATTGTTATTACATTTTCCCCTTTGTATGTTCATTAGGAAATGTTCTATAGGTGTAGATTCATGGAGTTTAGTCCAATTATTGTGTGTTGTTACAAAGGTTCTAAGTTGTAGGTATCTATAGAAGTCTGTCTTAGGGAGACCAAATTCACTTTTCATCTGCTCAAATGTTTTGAAGTTTCCCTCTTTAATTAATTGATGGATATGAGATAGTCCATAATTAGACCAGTTTTTGAACCTGGAATCTAAATTGTTTGGTGTAAATGTCTTTATAAATCCTATATTTGATAAAAGTGAAATCTGCTTTGATAACTTAAAAGCCGATTGTATTGAGTTCCAGACTTTGAGGGTGTTTTTTGTCCAGGTTGTCATTTCCTTTGCAGGGGTATCTAAGAAAGGTAATGTTTGCAGTGGTACTGAGCATCTGCTTTCCTCTATTTCCAACCTGCGAGTGTCTGCACTATTCTGTAGCCATGCTAGTAGGGGCTTAAGTTGTGCAGCCCAGTAATAATATTTCAAATTTGGGAGTTTAAAGCCCCCCTTGGATTTAGGTAACTGTAGAGTTTTCAGTCTGATTCTAGGACGCTTTTTTTGCCAAATGAATCCAGTTATCATTTTATCTACTGTGTCAAAGGTAGATTTGGGAATTTCCACAGGTAGCATCTGGAATAAATAGAGTAGTCTTGGTAACACATTCATGCGGATACTTTCATCACGTCCTATCAGAGAGATGGGAAGGGTATCCCAACACTCCAGGTCATTTTTAATGATTCGTAGAGGTTTACTATAGTTTGTCTCATAGAGGTCACATAGAGACGGAGGTATTTGAATACCCAGATATTTGATACCGTTCTTGGGCCATTTGAATCCACTCTGTACTTTTATGAGGTCTGAAATTGTGCCATTTACATCCATAGCTTCCGTTTTTTTCTATGTTGATTTTATAGCCTGAATAGAATCCATATTGAGAGATGAGCTCTTTTAGGTGGGGGATTGTTGATTTAGGTTCTGTCAAGTACAACAATACATCATCAGCATATAATGAAATTTTTTGTACGTCTTTATTGATTTCTATCCCTTTAATATTAGCATCCTCTCTAATGATTTGAGCTAATGGTTTAATACTAATGGCAAACAGGAGGGGTGAGAGTGGGCATCCCTGTCTGCACCCCCGTTCTAATGAGAATCTAGTAGACCTATAGCCGTTAACTTTAACTGCTGCCTGTGGAGAGGAGTAGAGTGTTTTCACCCAATCAACAAAATATGGACCAAATCCAAAGCGTTTAAGGGTATGAATTAAATATTTCCAGGAGACTCTATCAAACGCCTTTTGGGCATCTAAAGAGATGATTGCTGATTCAATCTTTCTCTCTCTTTGAACGCTTGTTAGGTTTAGTAAGCATCTTAGATTATCACCATAGTACCTACCAACAATAAATCCTGTCTGATCGGGGTGTATGATTTGGGTGATAAAAATGTTAAGTCGTCTTGCTAGGATTGCTGTAAGTATGCGTGAGTCTGTATTCAATAGTGATATGGGTCTATAGGACTGGCAATCTGTAGGATCCTTGCCCTCTTTGTGGATTACTACTATTGTGGCTTCTGTCCAGGATGGTGCCATAGTTTTGGATTTTAACGCATGATGATATGCTTTTAATAGCAAGGGGGCCAAAAGATCTACAAAAGTTTTATAGAACTCATTGGTAAATCCGTCTGGGCCTGGACTTTTGTTGTTCTTGAGTGATTTAATTATCTGCTTAATCTCCCATTCCTCAATTGGTTGATCTAATTCCAGCGCCATCTCATCCGTTAATTGGTTCAATTTTATGTTATTTAAATATTCTGTAAGCTCTTGGTCATTATTACAGGTATCAGTATTTGTATATAGTAATTTATAAAATTTTGCAAAGGCCTCAGCTATTTTGTCAGGACTTGTCTCAACAGTCTCTTGGGATTTTATTTTATGAACCATATTGGAGGACTGTTGTTTCCTCAATCTAAATGCTAATAACCTACTGGCTTTCTGACCGTGTTCATAATATTTTTGATTAGTAAACCTCAAGTTACCTTCTACTTTATCTAACAATAGACTGTTTAGTTGTCTGCGGGTTGCATTTAATTCCTTCAGGATTTTACCTGAAGCGTATCTCTTATGTTTAAACTCCAAATCTTTGATTCTATCCTCCAAATCTTTTTGTTTAGCATCCTTGTGTTTTTTCCTTGCAGATGTGAAGGAAATTATGCGGCCTCGAAGGAATGCTTTGGCACAGTCCCATAATATCAGAGGTGTTGTTTCTGTAGATGTATTAGTTTCTAGGTACATCTTGAGCTCCGCTGTAATGAATGTGATGAATACTTTGTCATTGAGTAGGGACGTGTTAAGTCTCCATTGTTTAGATGTTAACCTATGTCCTATATCCCATTTTAATAAGACAGGTGCATGGTCAGAAGTAGTAATAGGTAATATTTCAATATCCACTATTCTATGCAGTTCTGACTTTGGGGTAAAAAAATAGTCGATCCTAGAGTAGGATGCATGACTACTTGAGTAGAAAGTAAAGTCTTTAATTCTGGGAAACCTGCTCCTCCATACATCTACAATACCTGTCTCTATGATCTGATATTTGAGCATCCTACTCATTCTAGAGAGTGGAGTTCTTGGTGATGGTGATCTGTCCAATATTTGTGACAAAATACAATTGAAGTCCCCACCCAGCAACAACAGCCCGGTGCTGTGCTGTAATATTACCTTAAACAGTGACTTTATGAAATCTGGTGCATCCAAGTTGGGTGCATATAGATTTACAAGCGAAACTTCTATGCCATCAATTGTACCATTAACTAACTTGTATCTTCCCTCTGTATCTCTACGTAATAATGTTTGTGTGAAATTAATCTGTCGGTGCATAAGTATGACAACACCTTTCTTTTTTCCTGACTGGTGGGATGAATAGAAAGCCTTGTCTGCCCAAGATTTTTTTAATTTTTCATGCTCTGTATCAGATAGGTGGGTTTCTTGGAGAAAAGCAATGTGACAATTAATTTGTTTTAATTGAGTCAATATTTTCTTTCTTTTGACTGGATTATTGAGTCCTTTTACATTGTAAGTTACAATTTTATATTTATTTATATTTTTATTTTATATTGGACCTTCTCATTCTCCCCTCTAGATCTTCACATTTATCTTTCAGCGTGGCCATTTCCTTCTGTAAGCTGGTTACAGTAGACTGTAGTGAAGTAACTTCGTCTGACCACGTTGATAGGCCACCCTTTATGTCCAAGATGTCCGTCTTTATAATATCCACTTCAGTTTGTATGGTCTTTGTGCTGTTAGCAATGTTGGAACGGGCCGCTAGCAGTTCGGCTCTTATAGCTTGAAAATCTTCTGCTAATGCGTCTTTAAGTTCGTCTCTTATCACTTTAGCGATTTCGCCTCTCAGTGACGATAAGATATCTGCTTTCATTTCTTCGTTACTCATGTTCGGGCCAACCGTCTCAGTGGTTGTCGGTGGGTTAGCCTGCCAGTTGTCCTCTGTCTCATACTCCTAGCAGGCCTTATAGCATTAGCATCGCTTCCGTAT